TGTGTGTGTGTGTGTGTGTGTATATATATATATATAAAACACATATATATGTATATATATACACACACACATTTTACATGCACACATATACACACATATATACACACACATATGTACATAAATATAAAATATATACTGTTTAAAGACCTAAAATAAAAGAACATCCATGCATGGAGCACACAGCCCAAGAAACAAATATTACCCGAAGTCTCTGCCCTGCCCCGCCAGGGATAACTACTTTGCTGAGTTGGGGGTTAATCATTTCTCTTTTTGTCTTCCTAGTTTCATGAGGCATGAATGCATCCCCAAGCAGTGTATTGTTTAGTTCTGCTTGTTTTTCAACGTGATCTAATCGGAATCAAGGAATCACACGGTGAGTATTTTATGTCTTGCTTTTCCGGCTCTATGCGTGTAGAGCCTTCCTTCCTGATGTGTGTAGCTGGGTGGAGAAGTAGTCCAGTGCAGGATTTACTTACTTACTCTTATTGTTAGTTGTTATCTGGACTGTTTTTAGTTTTTTCTATGCTGCCAGGAAAACTCTAATGGGAGTGGCTGGCCTTTTAAAATGCCCCTCCTCCAGAGCCCCAGGTTTTGCCTCTGTACAGAATACCGGGCCTGTAGCTAGATAGCTAGAGCTCTGGGAGTTCCCTGCAACTATGAGAAGATGGGATTCCCAGGGGTCCCTCTACTCCCTGGCCCGGCCTCACTCACACACAGAAGACTTCTGCTCTGAACCTGAGATTCCACACCCCTGCTCTAACAGCAGGGAAAACAATGGCCTTTTCAGAGGCAGTCCGGATTTCTGAGTCACACCCCTCTCCCTACTACCTGCCCCCTTCTTCCCCAGGTAAGAGAACAGAGTTCTCAATGAAAGGGCTCCATTGATGGGCCACAGGGCGTGAAAGCGTGAGAGCCGGAGCAGGAGGGGACCAGGCTCTGCCCTGCCATCTGGCCCACAGGGTCCTCACATTTGCCACATGGCTACAGGGGGAACAAAGGAAACCGGACCGTGGTCAGGGCCAGGCGTGTTTCCCTCTGTTACATATATTGCTCCATTTAAGGCTCATATAACTTTAAAGGTGGAAAAACAACAACAAAAGATGACTAACACTTCTGAGTACACGCCATATGCCACTGTGCTAAGTGCTTTAGATACCTTATCCCAGTGGGTCATAGCCCATGACAGTGGTGAGGAAATTAATTTAGGAGGTTAAGACCAGCATCTAAACAAAAGGAAACAGACAAGACTGGAATGAAGATGAGAATACTAGAGCGTGTCCCATAAACTAAGGGTAAGTACTGTTTTGTGAATTCTTTCTGTACCTTATATTCACATATATTTATCTCTCTGCACTGGGTCACAATGTAAACTATATATCTCTCACTGTGGATAGAGGCTAAAAAATCTCAGAACACCCTTTCTTGTCTCATTTATTTCATAACCATCCTGACGTAGGTTCAGTTACTAACCTAATTTAACAAGGAAATAACTGCAGCTACTTCCTCGGCTTCATCTGGGCCACACAGCTCGGTCACCAACCACCCACCAGCCTCCCGCTGCTCTGTTTCTCTTTCCTCCCCCAGAACACGTGCTGCAGCCTCAGCCCAGGGCATTCTCCCCGCCCCTCTCACCAGCTCTTTGCACAGCTGGTTCCTTTCCATCCTTCAGGCCTCAGCTTGGGGGTCGTGTCCACATAGCCCTGGTCCCCAGCCTGAGCAGCCCCTCTCCTGTTCACGGCCGTGTCGACGTGTCTCCTTGTTGCCGTCTGACTTCCCCACTACGACTCCAAAGGAGGTAACGTCTGATGCCCTCGCCTGTGTGTACCTGGCAGCAGGCACTCCCTAATCTGTTGGTTGAATACAGACACTCAAGTTCTCACAATTGGTAAATGGCAAAGCCAGGATCCCAGCCGGGAGAGGGCGGACCCCTTGACCCCTGCACTATATATGAAAACTACGAAACAGCACCAGTAAGTGTTAGCGCTTGGCTGGGTCGGACTCCGACGTCTGTGCTCTATTAGGTCAATGGGGTAGGGGGGCCATGAGGGCCTCGCTGAACAGCCTTTTGTGGTCGGCTGAGAACTTGGAAGGGATAAGTGAGGAGACAGCAAAACCTCAGGCTAGAAGAGAAGAAGTCTGCCAAAGAACAGAGAAATACCAGAAGAAGTCCTCAGAGCAGCCAGCTGAGAAATGAGCTGGTGACTGGGATTGGAGAGGCGGGGCCGAGAAGCCTGAGGACCAAGGCCAAAGGAATAACCTGGCCGTGCTGCCACCTCGTGGCTGTGGAATGCTTGGCCCACAGGAAAAAAAAGAGAGGTGGGCTGGTCTGTGGGTTCATTCTTCAGGGGTCATTTACTGAACACCTGATGCAGGCCTGGCTGCTGTGGCCTGGAAATGAGTCTGACACGGCTCCAACGTCCAAGGACCGCTGTTCCCTACATCCGGGCAGTGACCCAACCCTGAGAGGTTTACTTCCCTCTTTTCACAGTAGCTTGTGGGGTGCCCCCTCCCCAAAACAAGACTGAGAGGGCAGAGATGACCTCTCATTCATCTCTGGAGCTCCAGCACCCAGCACAGGGCCCAACACATCAGAACAGTTACAGTGGCTACAATTTAATAGGTGCTAAGTGCTTCTAAAGACAGCACATCAGTTCCCACATTTTACCTCTGAGGTACTTACGAGATCACCAAATGGAGATGTCAAGTCAGTGTTTATTTCAGTATGAGCCTGGGGTTCTTGGAGAGGTCAGAGATGGGGAAATAAATGTGAACATCACCCACAGATGTGTTCAAAGACCAGGACCTCTCAACGAGTTTCGTGTGCATGTGACTCACCTGGGGTTTTTGCTAAAATGCATATTCTGATTCTGCGGTCCGGAGCAGGCTCTGAGAGTCTGCATTTCTAACAAGCTGTCAGGCGATACCAATGTTGTTGGTCCACAGACCACACTGTGAGTGGGAAAAATCTGGAACAGAAGTTGACAAACTATGGCCAGAAGGTCAAATCCAGCCTATGGCCTGTTTTCCTACATCCAGCAAGATAAGAGCAGTACTTTTATTTTTAAAAAGGTTAAAAAAGAAAAGAATATGTGACAGAGACCACTAGTAGCTCACAAAGCCTAATATATTTATCTCTGGTCCTTGACGGAAAAGGTCTGCCAACCCCTGATCTGGTATGTCATCCAGGGACAGGAGGCACAGCGAGATGAGAGAGGGATGAGGGGGGAGCCCTGAGCCAGGCTGTTATGACTTCCAAGTTGCCATGCCTAGTTTCAGTAGGAAAAATAAGAATATAATGCACTGTTTGTGCGCTTATGCTAAAAAGACAGTGAGCCCTGGAACAGGTGAGCTAAAACCTGAGGCTCCCAGGTAGGAGTGTACAGCACTGGGGAAGAGGTGCAGACATCTTCGGGGCTGAATGGGGACGAACACCTGTCACCTTGATAATCCACTGCCTCTTTCAGCGCTTATCCTGGAAAAAAATGACAAAAATAGAAGGACGGGGCAGTAGCCACCACCCACTGTGTGCAGCACCACAGAAGTACATGTGCTGAAAAAAATAATATGAAAGGGAGTTCTACAGGGTTGCTCTGTGGAGCAAAACCTTCTGAATTTTGGATGAGGGTGGGGAGGGTGGACAGAGAAAAGGGTAAGGCAAGGGCAAGGGGTGCAGCAGAATAACAGCTCCAGAGCCTATAGTTTGGGGGCTGCCCCACGTCGTGTTTGACTACAGTGTTTGGCTACTGTCATGCTTCGTCACGCTGTGTTGATGACTATGTCTGCTTAAATGTCAGTGCCTGAGAAAGCAAATACAGCCGTCCATTTCCGTCAACGGGAACCGATCAATCTGGCCCTCTTTCAACAAAGGACCGGGCTCTTTTGCTTCCAGCCGTGAAAAGTTTGCTTGTCTCACATCAAGCATTCACATATATTTCCGAAGGACAACAAGAGAACCCTTTCTCGGGGGTGCAGAAAAGACTAAGTCTATCCAAAAGACTGTGGCAGGATATCTGTAAAGCCAAACTGTTCTTAAATGCTGGAGGACAAATAAAGACAGAAGGATATTATAAAACTGTCCTGGGCTGCAAAGCACATTCCAGAATTTCCTGGTTGGAAGGAACCTTCAAGGTCAACCAGGCTGCCTCATGCTTCCCACGAAGCTGCCTCCTGAATCTAACCGTCTAAAGGAGAAAAGCTCACATCGCGTCTGGCTTTAGGCACGGAATATTCTTCTTCTTCCACTTCTTAATAAATTAAAAAAATACTTGCAATCAAAACCAAATCACTGCCTTTTAACCCACAAACTCCTGCCCTTCTCAAGTCCTTCCTCAATCACACTGTCTCCCCCCTAGAAAGTGAGTTCCTTCAGGGAACTAACTGATCTTGCGGCACCCAGCACACTGCTCATTCCACAGCCGCGTGGTGAGCAAGTCCTCAGTCGACTAAAAAGATCTGTTTTTCTGCCACCTTTTTGCTGTGTGATCTTAGACACACAGCATTAACCTTCCCAAATCGCATTTTCCTCACCTGTAAAGTCCTATCACGATAGGGCTATTTTGAAGACTAAATACAATGACACGTGTAGAGTACTTAGAATGGTGGCTAGCACAACAGTAAGGGTTTAATAAGTGCTGACAATCATTATTACTCAATTAGTAGATGAAACCGTTCTATCCTATGAATCACACTCTCACCCCAAAACACATCACACCAGAACTGGGTTTCTCAACCTCGGCACCATTGCCATTTCTTTGTTGTGGAGGCCCATCCTGTGTTTTGTAGGATATTTAGCAGCATCTCTGGTCTCCACCTTCTAGGTACCAGCAGCACCCCACCTCCCCAGATCTGACAGCCAAAAATGTCTTCAGAGATTGCTTCTTCCTCCATAGGGAACCACTGCACTAGAATATGCAAATCAGTTGTGGAGTGGTCACCACACCCCCTAATCCCCCACCATCCCACTCTCCCCACAGGCAGCCACCTCCACCCCACGTGCTCACCACTCAGTTGCCTTGGAGGGAACAGGTGATAGGTGCTGTAGATATCATTGGAGAACTGCAGCTGGAGCTCAGGGCTGCCCTTCAGGAGCTGGGCAACGTGGTCCACCTGAAATGGTGTCTTCTCCAGGATCACAATGGCATCCTCTCCGTCCCCATCCCCAGAAGCCTCATTAACCTGTGGGTGAGACACCATCAGTGGGCCCAGGGGCAGAACCACAAGTGAGGCCTGGAGAGCAAAGGTAAAAGATGTAAAAGCTCCCAGGGCCTCTGCAATCCCAACACCTGGGATTTCCTTCCCTGCAGTCTTCCCTCTGGGGAAGTCTAGCCGATAGCGCCCATGTTTCTTCTCCCAGAGAAGGCATCTCATCAACCCAAATCCTTGTGGCAGCTCTCACATCCTCCTTCTAAACGATGCAAAGCTTCTCAGCTGTCTTCTATTTTAGGCTCACAAGGCCTCTGTCAAATTCTCCCCATTTTACAGACGAAGAAACTGAGGTCCAGAGAAGACTGCTTGCCCAAAGTCACACGAACAGTCAATGTTGAAACAGAAACTAGAATCTGGGTATCCCAACAGGCTTCTAGGTCAAAGGTTCTCATGGCTAAACTCTCCAGCAGGTGCTGCAGACTGAAGACAGGTAGGGGTGAGAGAACCAGACAGAACCTTGTAAAAAACAAGTTTCGGGGACTTCCCTGTCAGTCCAGTGGTTAAGACTCCACGCTTCCAATGCAGGGGGCGTGGGTTCAATCCCTGGTCTGGGAACTAGGATCCAGCACCGCCAAAAAAACAGAGAGAGACACAGAGAGGCATGGAAGCCTCGGCCAGGTCCCCCTGATGCTCTCAAAAGTGAGAGCTCCTGCCAGGAGTTCTGGAGAACCCTTGGCCAGCGTCCTCACTAGTTCTTGAGGTGGCCTCCAGTCTCTCCTCAGCCCCTGCTGGAAAGCTGAGCACATGGCATTAGAGGCATTGGTGTCTGCCTACCTGAAGATACTCTGCTCTCCTGAAGACCAAGGATGGTAACTTTCATCACTACGTCCCCCGCACCCGGCTCAGTGCTGGACTGTCAGAGCGTGATATGTGGAACTGAATCACCAATTTAATAAACTGTCTCCTCGGCTGGGGCTGGAGTTCTTTATAGCAAGGATCAGACCTCCCAGTCTCTATGTCCCTACCTGGGGCCTGGATGAGCAAGACCGTCCGGCAACACTTGCTGGGTTCCTAGCAACTTACAGGTTTAATGAATGACTGATGACTGCTTAGGGACTTCAACATGTGATTATGAATCGGCAATACACTCTACAAATGTTAGTTTTTTTTAGTAAAAGAGGAATTAGGAAAATTAGCCCTACGCGTGTTAATTCCCTTAATTTCACAGGTAGTCTTGCCTCCTCCACGAACTAACCCCCCTGCATTTTAGTGCACTCTGCCTTCCCCGCTCCCCACCGAGGAATGTGCTTGGTATTTTCCGAAGAATCTAAAAAAAGAAAAAAAAAAAAAGTCCGCCTCCGAGGCGACGATTGGGTCACTCCTTCCCGCATCCCCTCCCCAAGGCTGCCTAATGGTACCTTCCCGTGTAGGAAAATGATTTTGTCCCGCGCAGACTCCCTCAGCACTTTTTTCACTCTAAAGCCGGAGAAAGGTAAGCGGACAGGGGCAGAGGTACCATTCCCAACGCCCGCTTCTTTCCCCTCTGTGCTGAGCGCCTCCGCCTCCTCGTCATCCACTTCGCGCTTCCTCTTGTTGGGCTGCGGCACTGTGTCCGCCATGCTGCCCGGCGGGAGGTGTGCGCCTGCGCGAACCCGGCCTCTGCCCCGCCCCTCCCGGCCGCCTCCTCCCACCTCAGCCAAGGGGCGGTGACTACAACTCCCGACGTGGTCCGCGCCGGAGGCCGCATCCCTTCCGGCCTTAGGGAGCCTCGGAGCGCTGATCACTGGGATGCACCCGGAAGGAGCGTTTTAATTCAAGTTACCACCCCTTGGTCTCCTGGTGCTAGCCGGCCGGAGTGGAGGCCGGTGCTGAGGGCAGCGAGAAGGCAACAAGTCCCTAAAGAGGCGGGCTAGAGAGGCTGCAGGGGAGAGGGCTGCCCCAGCCTCCCAGGGGCAGGAGCCAAAAGATGCCGTTTGGACTCAATGCGTTGACACTTTGGTTGAATGCACATTTTAATCAGAATTACACCCACATTGATTAGAGCGGAAGGGATGTTTCAGAAATAAATCTGTTGAGCCAATCTATTTCTTGGTCAATTTGTTTTTAGAGCGAGCCCTTAAATCATTTCCAGTTTTCACCCGTTTTCATTTTACAGAAATGTTCATCCTATTCAGTTCTCAGTACTTTTGGCTGAAAAGAAAGGTAAGTGAACAGGGACTGAAATACATTTCTAAAGCCTCCAGCCTGGAGGCTCCTGCCCCTCTGTATCCACATTACTGAACCGAGCTTGTGTGTGCTCCCCCCAGCCCGCCAGTCTACCCACCCTGGGTTGTGGTGAAGGAAAGTAGCAAGGCTCTCAAGGTAGGGCCAAGCAAGGAGAGTGGGCAGCTCATGCTCAGAAGACTTGAACTCCCTGATGACTTTCAGGGATGCGATTTTAAAGACAAGATGAGGGAGAGAGTCATGGGGTGCCTGATAGCTCCTGGACTTCTTCTGATTGGTTGGTGGTGATGTAACTAGGTGGTATTTCTGGAGTCAACATCAACCTTCTGGTTCCAGAGAGGCTGGGAGTCTACGCAGTTATGGTCAGCACGCGGTTTGCAGTTAACTTCTTCCACCTGGTGGGGGCTTCAGTCTCTGCAAAATAACTCAGGGATATGGCTCAGGATATTATCTCTAGCCCTGGAGGAGGAACTAAGGGTCCTTGACTATGTTTTATGGCTAAACTATTATTATTTTTGTCTTGTTTGACTGTTTTCCTTTGTCTCTGCATTTCCTCACTTCTCTGATTCAACTTGCTCTTTGGAACTCTGGGAAGGCCTAGGAGGCTGAAGGTTTTCTACAGACTTGAGATGGGGGTAGTGCTGAGGTCTGCTCCCAGGAAGGCCTCACAGTGTCCTGCTCCATTTTACCCACTTTGACCATGTGTCCACTGTGCTACCAGGGTTGTGATTTGCAGCATGAATATGATTCATCCATCAGAGTTTCTTTTCTTTTTTCGGCCATGTAAAATTTTTATTGATAATTTCTCTGCAACCTCCCAGTGCTCGAGCCCACCCTTCCAGGGACCAATGGCACATCAGCATCATCTCCTGAGCAGTGAGCTCACCCCTGCTGAAACCTGCCAACTGAAAAAAAAAACGCACAATGTAAAAGTTAAAAGTTATATTTTATTCGGGGACCTTACTGAGGACTACAGCCCGGGAGACGGACTGTCAGGATAGCTCTGAGAAGCTGTTCCAAAGAGGTAAGGGAGGAGCCAGGATATATAGGAGTTTTTGCTGAAAAAAAAAAATGTAGTTGAACATCAAAAGGTTACTATTAGGGGACTTCCCTGGGGGTACAGTGGGTAAGACTCCACACTCCCAATGCAGGGGGCCCTGGTTCGATCCCTGGTCGGGGAACTAGATCCCGCATGCATGCCACAACTGAGGATCCCCCATGCCGCGATGAAGGTCCCACGTGCCACAACTAAGACCCGGAGCAGCAAAAATAAATACATAAATAAATAATATAATTAATTAAAACAAGACTACTGCTAATCACAAAAAAGAGACATCTCAAGGTAATGATTTTAGTGCTTGTCTGTGTATGGGAAAATGCAAGAGTCTGGGCTCCTTGGAATTATTCCTTAGATATGCATCTTAATTATCTAGGGCCGGTATCCTCTTTTTCTCTATCCTGAATTCCCCTCAGGGTGCACCATGGGGTGGCTGCGCGGCTGATGGCTTGATGGTGGCAGTATTTGTTGTTTACTGAAATGGCAGGCGACATTTTTTTTGTCAGCAAACCATTGGTATTTTCTACTCACTGCCCTTACTTTTTAAATTTTTTTTAATTTGGTGGGAGGGAGCATATTGGGTTTTCAAAAGCCCTGTTGGGTGAGCTTGCACTAGTCCAGTTAAATTTATAGCACTTTCTCTAGCTCCTCTTCCCCATCCCCCCATAAGCATGAGTGACCAGCTGGGCTATTAGTAAGACTGGTTGAAATATGGTGGCTTTGGTGGAAACTTCAGGAGAGTGAAGTCTCTGCTTTCCAGAAAAATAATTGTCACTCAAAGTGAATTTTTTCTTTGAAACAACTTTTTTAAAAAAGAAAAGAAACAGCTCTCAGCCTTAGTGCCATCTCCTGAGAAACCTCCGTGCCATGAGAGCGAAGTAGAGGAAGAAGCAAAGGTGCAGGCTCAAGCACAAAAGAAGAAAGATGAGGCAGAGGTCCCAGTAAAATCGTACACCCATGGAGGCCACAGGAGCAGAAACAAGGGAAGCCAGAGGCCAGGGATGCTGGTAGAAATTGTTGGGCTGCATACCTACTGTCTAGAACTTGTCTCAGTGGATCTGGAACATGTATGCCCATTCTGATTGCCTCGACAACCTTTGAGAGACTCACCTTGCTCACATCAAAACGACCCCTTTTGGTCCTTTGCCCTGGACCTGTGTCATTCTGTACTAGTTCTGTTCTCAGTTGCGGCTGAATGTAATGTGTACAGTAAATCATCTCTTTTGCTGTCTTAGCTGAAGAAAAAAAAAGAAAAGAAAAGAAGCATACACTTGGCCCTTGAACAACACGAGTTAGAACTGCAGGGTCTCCATATACTCAGATTTTTTTTTAATAGCAAATACTGCCTTACTACATGAATCCACAGATACGCGTCCAGAGGGTCAACTGTAGAGTTGTAGCTGGTTTTCTACTGCACAGAGGGTTGGCGCCCTTAAGCCCCACAGTGTTGGAGGACCAACTGTCTAATGCATAAGGTCAGAATTCTACTCATAAGAGGGCCTGGCTCAAGGAAAAGATGAGCTCATAGGGAGCCTCAGCCCCCAGAGGACCTGCTGGAATACCAGACAGCAGAGCGTCTTTACAGCAGTAAATCTTCACTTGGCTTCAGAGGCATTTGTCTGCTGATAATTTTTTAGTTCAGCTTGTTTGGAAACATTAGACGGCTCTGCACTGTCCTATCCAATAGCCATTAGCCACATGTAACTTTACATTTAAATTAATTAGAATTAAATGAAATTTAAAATTCAGTTCCTCAGTCATACAACCACGTTTCAAGTGCTTGATAGCCACGTATGGCTCGTATCACATTGGACAGCACAGGTGTGGAACATTTCCATCACCACAGAAAGTTCAACTGGACATTGCTGTATTAGAAGGTTGTTACTGGGAAGACCTAGTCTATAAGCATCAATCCTTCCATGTTCTTGCGGAATCTCAAAACTTCTCCCTTTTATTTTACTTATTTATTTAGTTTAGTTTAAAGAAGGACTAGACACTTCCACTTCAGGTAGTATGACAGACTAGATATTCTAAAAACAATCAGCTAAAAACACCTAAACATTCTGGATGCAAAATTTAAAACATCCCTTTAGTTACATTCCTGTGCTCCCAAGAAAATAAAATTTTCAGAAACAAAAAATGTGGGAGCACAAATCTATAGAATAGTAAGTGGGTATTGAAGCTGAAGTTCTAAGGGTGATGGCTTGTTTCTAGAAATCCAGAGCCTCGGGCTTTAAAATGTGATGTTTAAGGCGCAGATCTGGGCTCATGCAAGCGAGGAGTTGGAAGAGAAAACTTCCCAGCGAGCCAAGATCTCTAAAGGGCACCCACCTCAATGAAAGGGCCAACTACTTAAAAAGTAAAAGAAAAGCTGCCCTACTAAAGGAGACAAGATGTTTAGGAAACTTATCTGCCTCAACATCTGGCTCCGGAGGGGAGAAGAAAAAAAAAAGACAAAAAACTCTGAAAATTTGTAATCACAGGCCAATCTCCATGCAGGTTTAGAATTCAGATTCATACTGCCTACATGATCCGGGAATTCAAACTGAAAAATCTATTTCAGCCAGTTTTGTATTCTTCACTGTTTACGCCAAATTGACTCCAGAAGAAATGAAAAATCTAAATAGATCTATAGCTCTTTAAGATACAGAAATTGGAGTTTTAAATCCGCCCCACTGCCCCCCTTGCAAAACACGCTAGGTCCCACTGCATTTACAGATTAGTCTTACTAAACATTCGAGGAGCAATTAATTCCAAGCTTTAACTCATCCATGAATAGAAAAAAGGGACCACTCCCCAATTATTTTAGAAAGCTGATATAACCTTGGTAACAGAGACAGAAAAGGATAATACAAGAAAGGATAATTATGGGCCAATCTTACATACGGATATACATGTAAAATCATAAAGAAAATATTAGCAATCTGAATCCTGCAATTTAAACAAAGGTAATAATACATCACGATCAAGATAAGTTTACCCCAGGAATATAAGACCAGCTTAACATTAGAAAATCTAATGTTATTCACTGCATTACCATTTAAAAGGGGGAAAAAAACATCATTTCAGTAGATGTGGAAATTTTAGAATATATTTCAAACCCATTCAACATAAGTAAAGCTCATAATCAACTAGAAACAACAGGAAACTTACAGCTTGTTAAAAAATATGTACCAAACCCAAAACGTACAACAGATACCACATATAACGGTGAAATGTTTGAAGCATTCCCTTTGAAATCATAATTTAGACAAAGTTGTCACTCTCAATATATTACTGGTGGTCCTAGGCAGCAGAGAAAGACAAGTTTTTGTTTTGTCTTGCAAATTATATGATTGTCTTTATAGAAACCCAACAAAGTC